GTTATACCATATGGAATTACTAAGCACAAACATAATATCTCTAAATACTGGAACTGTATATTTTATTGGAGAATGGCTCATGGAAAATGGTATTTCTATATTTTGTAAAGTAGGTGGGTGAATAAGGTCAAGTCTAGATAGGCACAATACATTTCCTGGAACACCTACTCACCAAAAACATTAATTTGATATAAACAGTCGCGCACATTGTTTACAAAGGTCATTTGATAAGAGCAATACATACAATCACTGATCCGTGCATTAAATAGTGATCTAGAGTGATCAAAGCTTTCGTTTTTCCACAACCAATTTCTAAATTAAATAAACGTGCTCATATCAAATACGCCATAAGTAATCTAAAACCTTTCCCCATGGAAAGTAGGCAGAGGCAGACAGACAAAGAAAAGTTTTGCATACTGTAGGCCTAGAAAATCGGTGTATCTGAAACAGAAATGCAAAAATATTGTGCGTATACGTCTGTACCATTATCTATAAGAATAATATGTTTCAAAGGAAAAGAAATTTAGCATTTTCGTTTCGGAAAATTGGAAACAGGCAAACAGAACAGGAAAGATTACCCTTTTCATCTCCGATTTTGATAACATTATTGCTTGATTAACGATTTTATCAGTCCATAAAACGCCTGGATTTATGCCTAGATTTCTTTCCGTCAACCATAAAAGGAAAGAACACTTAAGTTAAGGAAGTCATCCAATCCAAAACATCGTAATCGTTAAGATGGTAATAAAAGACCCCATTTACTCTAAAACAGTTACAAGTACCAAAAAGTCAATTGCATAATTATTTGCGGTTTATTGGGCATTTTGTCTAATTTATTTCCTCGTGAAGAGAAATCAGATTTAAGACAAGATCAGAGAAGCTGCTTCGATATCTGCAATAATTTTATACGATACGGTTAATTTGAAATATGAGTTGGAAGAGGACGAATCTGTAGAGGATGTTCATAATGTATTTAATCTGTCAATATGGTGTGCAGGGAATGGGGTTAAGAAGGGCAGAGTTGTAATAACATTTCCACCGCTGCACCTGCTGATTGATATAACTTTATCATAACATGCAAAGGCAATATCAGCCACGCTCCAGGATATCCGGAAAATGCCGAAGCTTGTCAACACACCCCGAGTGGCACCAAAAGTGTCGTCGGCTTGATTTATTTCTGAATGCGTCATTATTTCATTCACACTGAAAACTATACCAGCGGCGAAATAATATTTTGGGATGAAAACCAACACTGCAAATGCTACATTTATATTTCATTCAAGCGAGTTTATAAATAACGTTTCAGGCAACGCATTTGGAAAATAATTATATCGATGAAGTTTTATACTGACAACCTTGAATGGTTCGATTTCAGTTAATGGAAGCAAAATCTCAGAGTGTTACAGCATGGTTACAGGGATGGCCTAGTTAAGACTGGTTTCCATACAATCGCTACACTGTCTCTACAGTGTTTTCAGTGCAATCGTTGTACAGTACTGTGTAGCAGTCCCCGACGCCATCGTGAAGGCTCCCCGATTATCATTCGACCGACCAATCAACATCACCGAAAGCTGCCGACGATAGCATGTAGAGATTGTATGGAAAACCAGCTTGATTACTGTAGTTGTACAATATATAAGCTGCTACTGTAGTTGTACACAATATATAAACTGCTAATCAATAATTAATAATTCTTAACGAATCCAGTGTTTCATATACTACTGTACAGTATGAGACAGAATTTGAATTTATGTACCACAATGAGTTTATATATTTAGCTGAATTCATTAAATTCTAGAAACTCGACCGATTGATATTACGTTATTACTTATAGGCTAAATTGTAAATTTAGTAATACAGTACAATATGGTGTATTTCTTAATTGTATAGTGTCGTAGCTCGGTGGCATAAAGCAACATAATAAACTTGAATTGAAATGATCTTGATGTCCGAATGCTGCAGCGCGACGAGCAAAGGCAAGCAATTAAGAAGAGAAAATGGTGAAACTATTAAGAATACATTTTTGGTGTCTAAACAAACCCATAGCCAAAGAATGAGTAATACAGGCTGACTTTACTCGAGGCAGCAAGGAGCCATCAAATTGACCGATTGATGATTGAATGGCTCGTGGTGGTGTGAAATTGACCCTGATGTAACTAGCCAAACATGATGACCAAAATGTGTGTTTTGAACAGCACGTTGATGACGTCATACAAAACATCCGAGTAAACTCGTTCGCCTATCTGTGATTCATTGACATCATGAAAAATGATGGTATTTATGTGTCAACAGGCCTACTCAGGACGTCATTTCTATCGCGTAACCACCCGTAGTGGACGTCGTACCTTAAACCACTAAACTGTGTTTAAAGGGTTAATCACATTCATGTATGCTATACTTATATCATATCGTCAAACATGCATTCAATTCATGTATATCTTTACTTTAAATGCAAACGGGAGTCACAATATTGTTTTTAACCAATTATAGCGATCGGATGGAATATAACGTTGTGTTATAAATATGCAGTAGGGCTCATAGAGGGACAAAATATAATTTATAAAAATCCACGTGCCATGAAGAGATAAAGTAATCGTGGCGTGAAACTATATGAAAACAACTTTAAAATGGCCGAAGGACTGGTTGATTAAATTTCTGTTCCACCATGTCTGACCTTGATCATACTCAGCAGCTTGTTATCTCAAACAGTGATGAAATATGAGAATTAACAACAAAGGCAGCCGTGTGTGTATGGTATTGCAGTTCAGCGTAGCATATGGATTTAACGTGGCGTACAGAGCTTGTTTTTCTCCATTCTCTTCACTATCAAACGGCATCGTGGATCAACAGTAGACCACGTACATGACCATCCACGGGGGATAAGCCAAGCCACGGTGTTTCAACATGGCCCAACAAACGGAGTAATTGTTAATCATTCTTACATTCTTAAAACGCTAAATATCTAATTTGAATTCTTTATTTCCCAAACGTTGACAATAAACTGAATTACAGTCGATTTATTGATCCACTGTAGAGAACTATCATGAAAATATACGCTAAGAAACCTAGATTAAAAGCAAGGACGACTTTTAGCTATAAATGAGTTTATTAAATGATCTGTCATTTGTAGTACAATATACACAGGTACTCCGAGACGGGCATTTATAGTACGCAATTGTGATGAACAATAACCTCTACATATAAGGTCACCATTAGCATAATGTTCATCCAAATCCGAAGGGAGAATTAGTATTCAGTAGTTGAGTTGATTCACACAGTGACAATCAAAATGACATTGCATTGTCAACTATACAGAATGAGGTTTAATTCCGGTTGATCGTCAGGCATTGGCGCGCGATCGGTCGAGCAAGCGGAAATCTCTGTGAATGCAACTTTTATGTCGCCTATATTTCTTTATGGTTAATACGATATAATACAGAGTATAACTTATTACTAATTGGTATAACAAAGACTGCTATTGTATCGTGATTTATAGCCTCAATTAATTAACGAAAGTCGTAACATTCTTTTGATATCTAGTTGGCATGGGTGACTCACTTACAAGTTCGATAATGATATATTTACCAGACAACTCATGTTTTCAGTACAAGTTTTAAGCTTAAGATGAAAATAGGGTTCAATAATAAGTTATACTTTGGCATAGAATAATGAAAATAGTTATGAACGGTTTTGACAGAACAAAGGATAAATAAAACGATTACTGTACGGTACTCGATGTATCCATGGAGCATACAGTAGACCTATTTAATAAGATGGAGTACGTCGATACATCCATAGCATTGGATGTATCATACTTAGTACAGTAAGTTTATTAAAACGAACGAATGAAAATCAAAATATCAAATCACAATGGTTTGTAGGCCTATCCCCATTTCTGAGTTTTCTTCATACTACAGTATCATAATCCTATGATTTTTCCCAATAAGCTGTTAGTAAATGCTTGAACGAAACAATAGAGGCAAGATGGGTGACCATAAACCAAGGCGAATAAACAAGGACCCATAAGCATTATCCAATTGTTTATTTACGTTGCTACTGTTCACTAACAATGCATAAAGCACTGCGAAAGCAGGTGAATAAATCATTGAAGTTTGTGTCCATTTCGTCTTTTTGCATTAACATTCACTTGTTACTACAGACGTATATGATCATGATTATATGAACACATTCATTATATGTCAACTTGATATTTCATTCGTTTACCATGCTGTTCAACTTTATAGCCTATATATATATATATATATACATATATATATATATATATATAATAGATATATGTATATATATATTCATATGTATAGGCCTACATACATAATAGTAAGTCTATCTGTCTAAATGTATGCATGTTTCATAACTGTCAAAATAACTCAATTCAATATGTTAAAATTTGGAGCATACATACTACACGACGAAAAAAATAATTAATTTTATACACAAAAATGTAAAAGTTAATATTAGAGCATGATTTCATGAACCGAGTTACAAATTCAATTATACGATTTAATGTCAATAATAATGTCTGTTTGCATTTCCATTGTAGTCATTTATAGGCTTGTGGGCTATTATTATTTTCTCAATGATCAAATACAACATTCTCTTGAATATTGAATTTATGTTCATAATGATTGTACTGCAGGATGGTGGTAGTTTAAGTATAAAATGCAATTTTATTAGTAATGTATATCATTTTGTGTGACCACCGTGTGCGAGTCAGTTGATGATTATCCCCGTCCGGAAAAAAAATCATAATGACGAGAAATTGAGCAGAATTGACATTTGAATATAATATTTTGTCTATGTCAGTGTTTCATTCATTATTCGACGTATAATCGTACATAAGATATATAATAGTACAGGTATACTGTATACGACTGTGTATATTTAGTTAATATTTGTGCATAATATGTCAGCTTTGAACATTCAAATATAAGTATTCCTATTATTATAGAAATGTGAACGTATTAATATGGAAAACTTACCTTTATCTGCGTCTGTCGTGCTTTCGACCAAGGCTAGCGCGGATATTATTATTATAAGTAATTCAGTCAATATCTTCTTGGGAACAGGCATGATGTGTTCGCTAAAGTATCTATCCGTATGCCAACATGTAGGTAAAATATCCTTAAATTGCGGGCTCTTTGCAACGTTCTTAAGAAATGAACAAGGACGACTTCAGGTATGACATGCAGGAGAAATATTCGTTCCTTTACACGGAGCCAAACCAATATTATTCCCGTTGTTTTGTGCGGTCAGTAATATTCCTTCCAATGACTCGCCTGCGGACTAAATAGAGCACAGCAGGCCGAATGAACGGATACTCTGCGCAGTGTATTGTGAGCCCGTCCACTTACAAATCTCAAAACAAGGTACTGTAGTTCGTGCCTTAGCCTTAGCGTTACTCACCCATGCCAATCAACAATCCACCACTGTGGCAAGGACTTAAGCAGAAAGATAAACAAATCGATAAAGACTAAAGTACCTTTACAGTTAAAATCTGAACGCATTTTAAACGAGAACAATAAAATCAAGTCTATCACTGTAAATGTAAATAATTCTGTAAAAAAAAAAAAGACGATTTTCAAAAGGTATTTCTTTAGTTAGTTGTGTATTGCTAATTATATGGGGTTTTGAATTTACGAATAAAGTCTAAAGAATTTATTAGGGATTGAAATCTTACCGAAAATATATTTATTTTATATTTATTTATTTTGAGAACATACGTTTTTGGAACGGCGGCACACACAAGAATGGTGCGTTCAGCTTAAATTACAAAAATATAAAAATTAACTAAAGAAGGAGCACACTTTAACACAATCATTGATAAAATATGCAAATAAACACGGAAAATACTGTACAATTTATTTAATAGTTACGAAGGACAATGCAGACAATAGCGGGATGTATTCCCCTACTATAAAATGGTACATTCCATATATCAAGGTCATTGCCGAAGGCGGTACTATTTCATTGAATGCAAAAAGTCCCAAAAGTATCGTAGATTTAAATTTAAAGTTAAAAATAAAACTCACTCATGTTCCTTTCAAAATGATATATAGTAGAACCAGTGGTAGAACATTCACGGAGAAAAAGGTGTTCACAAAAAAAAAAAAAAAAAAAAATTAATTAATAGGCCTACTGGCTTTTCTATCAACAGAAGGCAGACAGATACAGTAATGTACAAAACACGGTGTACACAAGGTGTACGGTAAAAATGGCCGCCACAAAAACACATAATTTATGTTAATTTATTGATCCAATTTTTGCTATTTTGCAGCATTTAATAGATGGAAGATTTTTGTTAAAAAAGTCAGTTTAATAAATTTTATAATTTGAGGCCATTTTTACCTACCTGTCATTTAGGGCCATTTTTCCTGGGGCTGTTTTTCCTGGGGCCATTTTTTTCCGGGGCCTATTTATTTCGTCTTTAGACCCAATACTTGGATTGTTTCTTAATTACTTCATGTTCGTATTCACCCATACCCAACGCCGTAGCCAGCTATTGGGACAGTTGAGACAGTCCCACATAATTTTTTTTCCAATGGGTCCATAAAGAATGGGTCCACATTTTTAAAAATGAGTCGAAATTATGCAGTTTTATGAATAAATGAGGCCACTTTTTGAAAATGGGTCCATATTTCTCATATTTAGCCTATAAAATGGGTAAACCCTTTAAGAAAATGAGTCCAGATTTTTCATATTTTTGCGTAAAATGGGTCCACATTATCTGAATTTACTGTTTGAAAATCCTACGGCATTGCCCATACCTAGTCACTAATGAATCCAACTGAAAGACAGAACTCAGCATCTGGGATTCATTGATCTGGTGAATCATTAGATGCCTGTGCCAAGTAGTTGTTTGGCTTAATGTGATCCCATGGGAAAATATTCAATAGCCCCAGCTTATTTATAAGAATGATACATTCAAATTTGATTACAAACATACAATGGCCTAACATTCTTTCTGACGTGACACCGTGTTTATGGACTCTGCAAAGTAGAACAGGAGAAAATAAAGCTAGAGCTGTCTCTTATACACATCTTTCATATGTATAGGCCTACATACATAATAGTAAGTCTATCTGTCTAAATGTATGCATGTTTCATAACTGTCAAAATAACTCAATTCAATATGTTAAAATTTGGAGCATACATACTACACGACGAAAAAAATAATAAGTTCGCAAATAATAAACTACGTATCAAAAATACAATATTCGAACGAGTACAGTGACGTTTACAAAATGTCGTGTGCTAATCTAGCGCAAAGAACTTTAAATTTCGTAAGTTTAAACGTCATTTTCTCGAATTTGCAGAAGTTCTGACGGTCGAACTTTTTTTTTGTGCTTTTAAATATTATTATAATAATTATCATAATGAGTGAAAGTATTAGGAAAATTTCGGAACGGGACTGAACGTTAGGATTTTCACCCCATGGCCTAATGGGCGCTAATTCGCAAAATGACCTCGATTTTTTTTGGGGGGGGGGACTTGGGGTGAATAATTTTTGGAGCGGCATGCGCCCCCCCCCCCCCCCCACCCCCTAGATACGCCACTGAATTTGTCGCGAATCGTCAGTCATGAATACCCGATGGACAATGGGTTAGGAAAGAGACTTCGGGGTGAAGTCTCAAACTTCGTGTTTATAGGCAAAAAATGATTCATTTTGATTGAATGTAGTATTCCTGTACTGCAATATAGAAAAACATGTGAAAATATGAATTCATACATTCATTTTCATTTCGAGTGCTAAAACAAAACTAACCATCTACATTTAATGAAATTAAAACATCATTCAAATAGATTAAATAAGATGCTAACCATGCCTTCATCATTTATGAAGTGTTTTAAACCGTATAAGTCAGCCTCATAAAGACCTCAATAAATGAGTCATTTTAGTTTCTATTCGAATCGACGTGAACAGAATATTGGATGACAGTATGTTTTTTTTTTTGTTTCCTTATTACTGATTGCAATGGTATAAATATTCATCATTAATTCCATTACACTAACAGTATTATCTGTGCCAGTAACAGAAAAACAAATAACGGAGATTCTCATTAAATTAAGTAATATATAAAATACCTTTCAGATTATTATTTTGCATAAAAAGGCACTTAAAATGGCAGGTTGATGAATTTTGATGTTGACAAATAATTTATAACCTTTTAAAAAATATACAAAATAATTTCCTGAACCCAAGATTCCACCACTTACGGTTAAGTATCTCTTATGTATTTACATCAGTATTGTAAATGTATATTTTATACATCGGTATATATTTTGATTATTTTCCAATAGTTTAAGTTTCATGTCTAAAATTAAGGTCCCTTGTTATTAACTACAAGTTAGTTAGGTTACATTATGAAACGTTAGGTAAGAATATTTCTTCTCTCTTTGTCATACGTTAAGTTCTCTCATATTATTCGATTCTAATTACTGTATTTGATTAGTTAAGCTTTTTGTTTTGTATTTTAGGATGAACCACTCGGAAACTAGCGAGTGCCATTGATTCAATGATTCCTGATAAATATTTAAATATTGAAACACTTTTAAGTTTGTGATAACTTAAAATTCTACTATAGCGCCATCAAACGTCAATGTACGGAAACTTTAGTTATATCTAAGCATAGACTTTGTGATTAGAGGGCGTTTAGTATGATTTCATCGCTTTTGAATTTTTCGCCGCGACGAAGATAAATTCGTTCTAGATGATTACACACGTACAAAGTTAACTTGAGTTCAGGCAATTGAGCATGCAAAGTTGGTTGGATCATAAGTGAAGTAGTCTTGACGAAATATTCTTACATATTTTGTACACCGCTTTCATTATCTGTCATCTGGTGAGTTTGAGTTTGGTTATGATTTTGAATTATTTTAGACAAACCATACAGAAAGAAAATAACAAATCTATGTAAAAAACGAGTAATTTTACCGTGACTCACGCAGGACGTTTCGTAGGCCTATCAAATGAACACCTAAATACTTACCTATTTGGTAAAATATACAGTAACATTATAAAGTACTGATGAAAGTTACCTAGCTAGCTAGGAGTTCTATGTAACAAACCATCTAAATGCATAATTTTTAATTAATTCTTTATATATAGTAATCGTTCTCGTGAATGCTGCGTCGAATCATTAACGATGAAATGTAGTGGATAAAGGCTAATGTGATAATTACACGAGTTCAAGACTTCTGTCTTACTTAGATATTAATGACTCATTCTGTGGTAACATTTGTATACATGAATAGAACCAGACAATAGTTTAATTGAGGTCTCTCAGATTTGCCTTACACCAAACAAGAAGCACTAAAGGACTTTTCTGTTCCAAGGAAATAAATTGAAATAGTATATATATATATATATATATATATATATAGTTGTAGGCCCTACACCAGAGGTTCTCAACTATGTATATGTCCCAATAGGAGCCAAAATTGCTCATTGAATAAATTTGAAGGGCCAGGGCAAGAGGTGTGCGCGTAAGTGGCGCGAGGCGGTGAGGGTTTGAACGGAGGGGTGGCTCCCTCCCAAATTAGGGATTTTTAAAAAAGTAATAAGCCGCTATTACGTTCATACAGGGCATCTTGACCTAAGAAAGTTACCCTTGTGTTTGGTAATAATGCAAAAGTCAAAATGTTATCACACAATGGGTCATCAGTAATCAAACACTTTTAATCACATATGAACGTAGGCCCATGTCATCTTACATTGTTACAATCATGATCTCGCCTGGTTTAGTGGCTGAAATTAGCCTTCGATGCTTGTGCCAGTTGTTTAAAGTCCAGTTTGAATTCAGTTGTGGTTAGAATTCTAAGCCCAAGCCTAAAAGAAGATATTATTTTCAGCTTGTTCTTGCAGGCTCCATAACATGCACGCGTGGGCATAACATGAGATGAGAACCCCAGCCCTACACAATTAAATAATAAATAAATAAAAAAGGATGAAACAGATAGTGACATTATTACACTACCTAATACACACGCTCTTTGAACCCATTATCTAGCCTCATTCGTGAAAGTACTCAATTTTATTATCATACCCCAGTGACCTATCAATTGGGTATTCTTTCAAAATGAATGCATCTTCCCCTAAACCTTTGACTACAAAAACAGAGAAGTGAAGGAATGGAGAAGGAAGTATTTATTTATACCATGACTTTCTTTTATAAAAACGCTGTTTTGTTACAAAATCATGAGAAGGGCTTTTTAAGGCCACTAATTATAATATTTTTCTCAAGCTTTACAGTAAGAAGTTTTTCTAATCCCAAATAAAATGGTATTTGTTTGAGGACAAAATACTAAACAAAGTTAGAAACATGGTGATTTTGTTGGTAAGAAACAAAATCAGCTATTAATTAAATAAAAAAATATAAACAAATCATGTCCACAAAATGACGCTGTTTTTTTATTTTCCCCGCCTCAGAGGCCTCCCTCCACCCTGTATCGGAGAGGCCTATATAAACTAATAGTTTGGTCGCCGATGAGATACAAAAATCACCATCCTTAGGTCAAGATGCCCTGTATGAGAGTCAAGGGCCCTCGGATGGCGCTATGTACGAAAGTACAACTCTTGCACTGCCTGTCAGGGGTGTTGCCATGTCGTCGGGAAAATCTTAGTGATGCCACTGACCTGGATAATTTAATCAGTAAAACTCCTTTTGAAAATTAAATCCTCTACATATATTATCTACATAAATTATTTAGTTATTCCTGCTGTTTCTTTAAACATTTATGGTGTAGAATCAACCAACACTTATGAGAGATTTAGGACACTGTAGGACTTGTTCAGTGTTGCTATGCAACATACTTTAAGGATTATTGTTTCCATAGTGACTGATATTAAAGAGATACCCTTAACATTGTTTTAATCCATTGCATTGCAAAGACTGATAATCACTGACAGACTGTTTAACAATGAGTGTTGCTTATTATATACAGAAATACTGCAACAATAATAACAACAATCTATTAGTTATTATTGTATTTTTTCTCAGGTAGACCTGTTTTGATTGGTTGTTAATTAAATTACCATGTCCTCTTTCAAGGTAAGATATGGCAATATATTTATATAGACTGAGTTTTTTACATACAGATGATAAATAATAATTTGTAAATACATATTGTGGTGCACTGTAATTGTCCTAAGGAAATCTGTTGAAATTGATATGGTTCAAATTAAAAAAAAAATGAAAGAGCTATGGCAATAATGATGTAAGCATAAGAATGAGATAAAATTACCTGACCTTTTCAAGAGGGGGAAAACCTTGAATTGTGAAGAACTTAAAGGTCATTAAAAGACACATCAGAAGTCGGGAAAGCTCACTTCTGGTCATCTAGGAATAAAAATTTCTTTTTGGGGTTTTTTGGAAACACTTTCAACCTCCCTCTGTCAAATCTTGGATCCGCCCCTGATAGCAATAGCTATAACAATAACATAGTGACTATGATAGTGATAGCGATAATAATCATAATAATAATAATACTAATAATAATAATAATAATACTTAATAATAGCAAAGATGAGGAAAAAGAAGCTTAGTTGTAATTATATATATGAAATCTCCAACATATGTAATGAATGGAGTTCATAACAAATAAATATTAAATATTATTGACATTTTTTTTGTCTAGAATACAAATACTAAGATAACCGTTATTGTTTTTTTGTTACATGCAGAGCCCTCGTGATGGTAATGGGGGAATGGTTTTTCACACTCCGAAAACCTACAGCCCTAGGGGTAGACCTTCCCCGACTCCATCAAAGACGGAACTTATGATGGCGGAGCTAGGCTTTTCAGGTAAGACCAAATTAAAATATTAGTTTATACATTCAATCATTATTATTGCCACATTTATTTTTTCTAAATATAGTACTGTTCTGAAATTCTGATATAATATTAAACTTACACAGTAATACACTTTTTCATATCAATTTGTTTGGTCTACTTTACTGCAAATGCGTTCCTGTGAAAATCACCTTATCTCTTAACCATTAGCCCTTCTTCAAACACATTGACTGATTTTACTACAAAAACCGTAGCTCAAAAACTAGAGGTTGGATAAATAAGGTTAAAACGGTTCATAGGTTATAAATATAGCTATTGCAAACAATTTATAAAATATTTGTTTTCAAATATTTGGCCCCCCCCCCCCCCCCCTGGTATCAAAGACTTGTTAAAATTCATTAAATGAATAAGCTTGATGCTTGATAGTGGACATATCTTATTCCTACAATCGTCATGCATAAATTGGGAATGTATTTTTAATAGTGTTTCACTAATGAATGATCGTTTAAAAAAGTTAATTTTTATATACCCTTTCCAATGAAATCGCTCAAATACTGCACCATGCGGCATTCTCAATGTGTTGATTTTTGTCTTTCTTACACACACGCAGTATTAAATATGTATTGTTATGTGGTCAAAACAAGCTAAACAAATTGATATGTATAAGAAAACCGAGGCAGGCTGAAAAGTCAGACAGATACTCTTCAAAGCCAATTGATCAACAGAAATGTATTCAAAAGCCATGAATGGAAGCCATTATGTGCATAAAGTAGGGTTTCTTTGATAAATAATTAGGGAATTGTATTTGAATGTCTAAATGTTTTTTGTCAATAGAGAGGGCTGCAACCCAGCGCATGACCTGTAGTTATTCATTCAAGCCAAACAAGGCACAATTTTGGTTATTTTGAGGTTAATTAGTGAGTTATTTACTCTTGTCTTTTCAGTGAGATGACTTCCTTGAGTAACAATTGATATAGTTTATATAATTGGATATAAATTATATAATTAAATATTTATAAACATCTTGAAGTAGTGGGGTAGCTGTGTGCTTGTGCTAATAAATATTTGTTACAGTAGTCTATAAAGTGCTGCCTGTCATTTTACTCTATATTTATAAACAAATAAAATAATATTTTGAAATTGAATAGGAACATACTGTGTGATTTTATAATGTCTAAAAAATGGTAGCTTAATACTATATAATACTATGGTTTTCTCCAAAGTGCTGCATTTTCATGATTTAAAATTATATTTAATTCAAGTTTTCTTGAAGTAAAATCATTAAAAAAAATGGAGATAAAACTGTGATATCAATTGAACCAAGGTGGTATAAAATTGAGGTCAATTAAAGGTCATGCTACATATCTTCCAAATTAGAAGCAGACGACAATCCCAGATGAGGAGTTGTCACACACTGTAGCCTATTGTACAAAGAAAAAGAACAATTGAATCATTGAATACTGCTAAACACAACATGATTTTAGTACTGTATAGTTAAACTATATCTACCAAATACTTAGCAATATGTATTGGCTAATTGGGGAAAACCATGATATGAAAAACCACAATTCGTCATGGTGAAAAATGACAAGGAAATGTATTTTCTACATATATTAGTATACCCAAAACCGATTGAGTGAGCCTTTGAAAACTGAAATTGTCATATTTTTCAGGGGGTTAGCCCCTGAAACACTTTTGGGAGATTTTGAGTGATGCCTGACCACGCCCACTTGTTTTTGTCTGACCACGCCCACTTGTTTTTGTCTGGCAAATCCTGGCACCACCATTGTTTAATAGTAATACTAGTAGTACAGCATACCAATCACTTATATTTTCACTTTACCTTTATTGTCTCTTTTTGTTATAATTTAAAACATTATCTAAATTATCAAAACATTATCAAAACTATTATATTTAACGGTATTCATAAAAGCCCCCCTTAAGTCATCACTAGGTATGTAATTTATGTACAGTACATGTAATATAATCCACAATGTAGACATAAAGCCATATGTCAATTGCCTCATTCCTTAGGTATGTAATATTTTTAGCATCAGAAAAAAGTAGATGCAAATTTTGATCTTCAAATTATTAAAATACTGTAGATCATAAGTAATATGTATATCATAGGTAATTTAACTTTATAGCGGGAATATTCATGGTGATGATAATGATGATGGTGGTAATGATGATTTGATGACAATGATGATAATAATTTTATGTTGATGATGAGGATAATGATTTGATGATGATGATGATCATGATTTGATGATGATATGATGATGATACAGTGGTGATGCTGCTGATGATGATGAAGATGATAACGATGATATGATGGTGGTATGGTAATGATAATGCTGATCATGTGGTAGAGTTAAGCTGTTTGAAAACGATCCATACTACTCTCAGTTTCAAATAATTTTCAAAATGTTTACTGGTATATGAATAAGGTGCAGGTACAGAGCTAATAAATGTAATAGTTAGTCTTCAATATGTTTATAGTACCCATGAAGTTCTGAATGATTATTAGCATATTTTTCACCTACATCATAATTACCTCGAGTACTTAACGATTCAATTACTTTCCATCAAAATCTGCCATGGATCTTACAAGTATGTTTCAGAATCACCATTGTTGCGATTGATTTATAATGAAAGCCCACCTGCCCTCAATTTGAAATGATACATCTGATTAAGATGTTTCTTTAGACAGGTGTTAGCATATTTCACCCTTCATCAATTAACAATATAACTTTGATATTATATCTGCATCATTATACCTCATATAGACAGTTACATAAAGATGTAACTGTCCCCTGAAAATGAAAAAAAAAATCATAAAATAAAATTTTGAAATTGACTTGCTCATTTTGCAGTAACATACTAACTAGAGCATAGGAATTATTGAATTTAAAAGATGTGTACCCTAATTTTTATACTGAATTAATGTTAATAGAATATAATAAATACTTCCAGTAACTGGAGGTTTCCCTGTCATTTTCGCTGTAAAATTATGGATGGAATTTTATACACTAATTTAATTTTATGTTCAAGTTGATATTTTTTTTATGTTACTTCAAAATTAGCAAAAGGTATTCAAAATGATTTTTACGATTTTTTTGGTATTTTGCATAGGACAATACATTTTTAAAGATGTAGTTATCAGTCATCAGGGGAAAAAAAATCAAAAATTTTAATTTCACTTTTGAATTTGTATAATGGAGATATTTAAGTAAGTTATTATTAATGCAATAAAATTTATATGACAAATCATAAAAAATGTATTATATTAATTTAAATTATTAGACTACCCAGAACAAATTTAAATCTTTTAAATGGGAAACTAAAAGATGTTCAGTTTTCTTCCTCATTTTAATCTTAAAGTAAAATATTAAGTACCGCTAAATACTGTATTTTATTATTTTATTAAATAATAAAATAATAAAATACTGTATTTTATTATTTTCCTTTTTTATACTTTGTTTTGTAATTTGTATCAAATTCCTGCTTTGAAATTGCACACATTGGGCTGTTACAGTAGGTTGCATTTGCAATGCGATAAACTACTCTAATTAAGGAGAAATAAGTGTCAGCATTATTTGTAAAAGTATTATTAATAGTATGGGTAGGCTTTTTTTATACCTTGTCTTGCAAACATATTTTTTTAAAGATTGTCAGAGGAGGGTGGAAAAAAGATAAAATAAAACTTTGTGTTCCTACAGTATTTAGCAAATGTTTTTGCCAAAAACATCCAGATGGATTAGAAAACACAAATAAAATTTTATTGCAGAATGTAGGCAGTGTACAGTAATGGTATGTTTAAATGCTTTAACTTATATATAAATAGGAAGAAATGTACATCTTTTTTTTTTGAGATTTAAAGGCAGAGGCGGCCAAATTTCTAATTTTTTCGTGGCATTATTGTGGGTTTGTTAAACAAGGTTTTAAAGAAGTCTCGCCTTAATGAATTGGATTGGATTGGATTTATTCGGTGTAAACACCAAGGATAGCCCACAGAAGTCTAGAAGAATACTTAATTCCAGTGGGGTCCTTCTGGTGGTGATTGGGCAGTACGCAGGGAGACAATCCCCTACTCTTTTTCGAAGAGTGTACTGCGTTCTTTAACGTGCACATGGGCCATTAATGCACATGGGACCAACGGTTTAAACGTCTCATCCGAAAGACGGTGCGCTATTGTAACTTGTATTTCAGCCCCCTAGCTGAAACACAAGGAGAGGCAGCGATGGGGATTGAACTGGGGAGATCTCCACGGTTCAGCGCATACACAGTGCCTACCACCAGATTAGCCGACTGTGCTAAGCTGTGGAGGAGAAAAGTAAACACCAGATGCTATCAATATACAGGGCTCCACCTTAGATTTATTTGTATATTACCATATTGTATTTTATTTACTCATTTTAATTATTAAATATTGTATTGTTGTGTGTGGAGTTCTCCAAGTTTAACACTATTCATTAACTAGTAAAATCGTCTTAGGTAAAGTTCCAATAGATTCTTTGATTCAGACATATTTGATTTTCATATTCTGTTAAAAATAGGCTTCTTTTTGGTCTGTGGTACCTAGCTGAAATCAATATGCCTACATATGATATGTACACATTTCAATCTGTTTTGGGGGTTCATATGATATCTCAAATCAATACTTTTTAATTAAATTCTATCAATATAAACTATAGGAGGGATGAATCATTGACCAAAACTATTGTCTCATGAATCATAGCTTATGTCCTCCTGGGGAGAACAATAATGGTAACATATGTCGACATTTTTAAATCAATAGGATGCAACTGTACATCTCTGTGGTACTCGAGCATCAAGTAAATATCTGCTTCGGTTCATAGAGGATGGTACAATATTCATTTATGTAATATAGACACTGTAATTCATCTCATAAATCTCATATTTTTGACCATATATGGAGTTTATATCATATCATCATGCCCATATATTGGCAGAAAATACACATTTGAAACCTGTAGGCACAACCATGGCAGGTTAAGAAAACCTCAATATACCTTAAATACTATAATAAAATAATAATAATAATAATAATAATAATAATAATAATAATAAATTGGAAAATTTGTATAGTGCCTGTTAGAAAAATACATGGGTGCTTAAAGATATAATAAGTTGTTGATTAAAGAGATAAGTTGCACAGAAAAAAAAATGAAAATAAAACTTTATTATTATCAGCATACTTGTCTTTCACCTTTGTATAAGTTCTTAAAGTTCAAATTTTAATTCACTTACTATACCTTAATGCTAGTGTTTTGTTGAAAGGGACAACCTTTTTTTTTTATAGCTTTTGCTAGTGGATCAGTTAGTTTATTGAATCATAAGAATTAAAGTAAGCACAGAGGTAGGCCTTGTGCATGTCCTCAATTGACCTACATGAGTGCAGTACTGCTGTTTCAAGCTGTTTTTAATTTCTTGATCATTATACACTTTTTTTAACATTTTAACGATTATAAGGCAGTCAGATGATTTAAAATTTAAGGTTTTCAAAATTATTATTATTGGCCTTCTAATGATAATATTTAAAGTTTGAATGAATTATTAATAAAATGATTCAACATTCGTACAAATGTTTTGATAGTTGAAAAAATTGATGATAGGTTAATTATTATTACTTAATACAGTAATGATAATGATATGCTTAATTTCTACTCAAATGGAAGGGCATATAAGAGGTACCAAGCTTCTATAACCATTTCTATTCTGCCTACTGAATATTATTATTAAGAACAAAAAAAGAAAAAGAAAATGCAGAACTATTGAAACAAACATCTATTCATAAAGTACCGTATAAAAACAAAAAGTTTTTGTGTCTACTGCCTCTGCAATTTGGCAAAATCTATGTATGCAGAGAACGTAGGACGCCTGGTAGGACGGTCACGGATAAGTGATTCCGTTCTAGCGTCGCACCGTCGAACGAATCGAAAGCTCCCTGTTGGCTCACTTGCAAGTTGTGTGAGTTAATCCTTTTTAAAAGATCAAAGTTCAAAGAGAGGAATTATGGGATACTGTTACCCCATAAGCTAAAGATAGAAATTAACAGTTTTCCAAACATAAATCGAGTCTCCACATAGAAAGTACCCAAAAACACTATGTCAAGCAGTAGAAACCTGCTCTAATTTAGTTGGAGCCTAATTTTAATTTAATGCTAATAGCTTGACTAAAAGCTGTCTATGAAGAGTAGAAACTCTGTAGAAATGTCGTCAGAACTCTAGAATTACACATCAGAAGTTATGATTAAAAAAAATATGTTGATTTTGCATTGGTAGCCTATGGCCTATTATTAACTCAATACCTAATACAGGAAGAATTGGAACAGCTTGTTTTCTAAAGAGAATGCCCCGCATTCTTGGGACTTAAGTAATCCATTCTATTTTCAATCTATTTAAACTATTGTGAATAATATCCTTGGAGGGATCCCTTAACGGGTTAGTTGATAAAAGACCTAGTTGTTTGGTTTGCTGTAGCTCTAATCACAGCTCAATTCTCTGTATCCTGTTTAACCTGTATTTGTTGTGTGTAGTCATGGAAACCAGCATAGGAATTTACCATGACACAAGTGGAAAAAGTTAATGTATTTATGAGTGTTGGTAAAGCATGACAAATTGAAATACAATAGAAATTCTAAATAGGAACACCTCTATTCATAGACCACCTCCATCATTTCCTCTTCCAATGAAAAAAATCTTTGACTTTGCTCTCAAAATGTTTAGAGAGAACAATCTATTTAATGGGCCATATTTTCTTCCATCTCAAGTGTGGTCCCTTAATAGAATTTTCCACAGTACAGTTGCATGTCCTTCCCTAGCCCAACTAGGTACTGGCTTAGGCAAAAAAATATATACTAGTAGTAGTAGCCCCTCCCTTAACATTCACAAGTCATTCCTAGCAGCACCCCCATTTCAAACTCCTAGATACACCACTATGTCTGTAGTTTTATTATACCATGAAGGAATAACTTATTCCTCCATGATTACCGGTATACCATCCCCCATCATCAGGGTAGCTTGCTGTACTCTACTCAGCAAAATGGCTCATAACATTACAAGACAAAGCAAACAATAGCAATCAATACCATGAGCTAATTACATAACACTGAAGATAACACTTCAATTCAAGGCCTGTGTTAAACTAATAAACTTAAACAATAAAATTCAATATTTGATTTGCTTACTTGTAATTAATATAGCTTTCATTTAAAGTTTGAACACAAAAAATGTTTTCTTAGCCAGCTTACAGACGCATACATAATACTTCTTCTATTATTTAAAATAGATTACTAAATTGGCTGGTAATCAATTTAAGGATGTTTGTAGTGAATAAAAGTCTATAAAGCACTGACCAGATTATCAATCCATACGTGTCTATATATGGTCATGTAGTGATGTCATCATGACCATATTTAGGCATGTCACATGTTTTTGTCAAATAAAATTTATAGGGGTAATGGACAGGGCTTAAAAATGCAAATCAGAATAAAGATCCCTATTTTTTTCAGTGAGTTAGGTTTGTGAGGAGGACAAACAAACAATTTTTTTAGGCCTTAAATGTTGATAACTTATTTTATCTCTTTCAATGGGCAATTTTCTTTTTATTATAAATTTTTTTTTTAAAGAATTTTTCAGATTGTACAACAGAATGTATTTATTTAACAAATAATTATTACACTAATTATTTAATTCTTTCAGTATTTTATTTATAACTTGTAACCAATAATAAAATACTGATTAGGGCAAATAAAATTAATTGCTAGTTTTTTGTCCCCGCCCTCATCTAAAGTTATAGCCTCTTGAAAAAAATTTTATATTCCCTATTTAAAAAAAACAATCATTTTTATATAGAAATAAACATAATGACGATCAAAGCCTAAGGAGAGGTGGAAATATAAATAACAGAATACATTACCAAAATTCACTTTACTTCTTTTACAAGTTTTATTATTTTCCAGTTTGCATTTACCACTAAGTAAATAGCAATAGTAAATACCATTTCAAAGCCTAAATGTGAAACTAACAGTTAGTTTTAATTGGCTTATATATTTGAGCAGCAAACATATTGCAGTACTGTACTGTACTGTATTTTATTGCCAGTGTTCTAGAACTTGAGGGATACTGTATTGATACAATCTGTGTAAAGTGACCTGTAACCAGAATCCAGAAGTGTTGCTGGATGTTTGCACTCTGAATGTCACCACACAACTAAGCCACTGTGGTTAGGTTGCCTAGCAGCATCTGAGTTGTTTATTGTGTCTACCATGTGGCAAATATTGAGGCCATGCTGAGGCCTTCAAGGAAGTCCAATCAGGGAGTTGTTATCTAAATAACAACTCCCTGGTCCAACTAATAATAGAAAAAAACTACTTTATTTGATTTTATTATAAATAATATGAAATACTTTTATTACTATTACCATAGTTCCTCTGGTATAAGCCCAACTCCCTTGAACACAAGGGGGTGGACTTATACCTGGGGAGTGCCATTTTTAATCAAATGGCAATATTTTGGCACTTTAGGCCTCATGCCTAAGCCAATATTTTATATAATTTCTCTGAGAATATTTTTAATATCATACCCTGGGCTTTTGACACAGGAAATACTGGTACATAAAATGGGCATAAAAAAGGGGTGGGCTAATACTTGAGAAACTACAGTAATAATGTAGGCTAAAAATTATAGTCTTGTCTAATTTTCTTGTCAGTTAATTTTTCTTAATTCATCTTTTATTTTGAACATCGTAGAATATTAATGCATTCTTGTCTCCCCCTGAAATTGGCCCTAAGCATGTTATCAACTTTCATCTTTCGTTGATCAAATACAAGACTAAAACTTTTAATTAAGTAGCGGTCGTGTCACAAAGTACAAACATTTTCAGATCCAAAAATCACGGTATTTTTTTTTTCTCCCTGCAATGTTAAAATCACTACCTCAAACTTATGCAACTGTTTTGCATAAAAATATGTAGTTCCCTAGAGCAATGAAATATATAGATGTATAGTAATTCAATCAGCATATTAAGGATTATTGAGATAAGGAGGCTGTTGGGGAGGGGGTACTAATTAGGGGATTGAAGTGATTGCATATATAATTACATATGTGTATAACTTTTATGCTCAACAAGTTTTCAGTGGAACACAATTTTTCTTGGCCCTTACACCTCATGCCTTCCCATCCCCTATTAGTTAATGGCAGTGGTGTACACTACCTGTACTAATACAGTACAGTACCTCCTTGCCTAGAGCAATACTATCATTTCTCTTATAAATTATCCTACAGTAATTTTATGCTTGGATTTGTAATGAGTATTCCTATGTGTATTGATGAACAGTCTTATTTGAGTTATCGTTTTATTTATAGAAGCCATATAATTCTGACATGCTGTCCAAATCTAATATTTCTTGCTGCTATTAAAAAATAAAATAAAATACTGACTGTTTGAATGTACACATTTATTCAGTTGTGACGTGCAAATAAATATTAATTTGAAAAACTGCATAAAAACGACAGTTTGCCAAATGCATATCTAATGTGTCAGGATGATATTTCAAGCACATACGGCATATGATCATACCTCGTGATGTAGGCGTAGATATAATTATGTAGCCCACAGAATGATCAAATTCCCAGAGAATACAATTCGAACAGTGGCGTATCTAGAGGTCATGAAATAAGGGAGGGGGGATAACAGGGGTGCAAAGGTGAAGTGTAAGTCTGAGTGATTAAGGGGCGCTAGCTGGCAAAATAAAGTGATATGAGGTCATTTTTAACTATTGGAGCGTAATTATTTTGCTTTGAAAGTTCGGTGGGGGGGGGGGCGGTATTATATATTTTCTAAAGTTACTAGTGGTGTCTTAAAATATTTCTACATGAAAAAACAAATTATTTCCTACCAACTGTTGTTAATATCATCAGTATTTTTATATAATGAAAATTTGTTTGACTTTTTTTAGCTGAAGACACTACAAGCTACACAGAGAGCCTGGCATCTGATACCGACACAGATTCCGAGGAAGAACTTGTAAAAGGTGAGATTTAAAATTAATACAAATAAATGAAAACATTAATTACTCCTAAATTTAGCTCAGTTTCTCTTAAAAACCAATTTTAATTCCAATGCAGTATACGTTCCTTGGGTAGATGCAGAATATATTGAAAGATTTTATAATACTATATCTAAGAATTAAATCTTTGCAATCATTGTAGTTGTGTGATACTAAATAATATAAAATCTGAGATAGGCTAATTATCACGAGTAAGGCAAGGTACTGGATATTATTCTTTTTTTTTTCATATCCCTAATACAGATGATGCAACGGTAGCAAAGTATGAAGCAATGAAGAAAGAAATAGAGGGACTAAATAGTCAACGAGAGGAGCTACTACTCAAAGTAAAGGTAAATAACATTCAAATTAGGTTTGCTTCGTAGCACTGTGACCATAATACAAATAGATGAATAATAATAACATATTGTTTAACATTGTTTCTTATTAGCCATTCCAACCCTCTTATTGCTGTTAGCTTAGTGCAGTCATAGTGGTGGTTAAAAAAGTAAATAAATAAACCAAATTTTACTACTCACCCACTGCACTATTCAGGATATTTCAGCTCCATTCCCAATAATAACATAATTACTTGAATAGGAACAAATGATACCATAATCATATGAAGCATAGGCAGTGGCGGCGCCAGCAGGGGCCCCTGTATAAGAGACAGCTTCAAGGAAGTCCAACCAGGGAGTTGCAAAGCTTCGGGCAGTCGGACCAAAATGAAAAAAAAATAGGCCTAGTTATCCCAGCCATTTCCGGCCATCTAGAAGTCCAAATTTTTTTTATAAAAAAATCTCGTTTTTGGAGGTGACACCCACCTCCCATACCCACCCCTGGCCTGGGCCTTCTGCCCTCAGATAATGCTGCGCACTATAGTTACACCTATAAATACTTAGCTCCCCCACCCCCCAGTCGGACATCTTAGCACCCCCATAAATTATATCCTAGAGCCGCCACTGAGCATAGGTAAGAAAATTCCTTTCTTAAACTTTGGTTCAGTGGTAGAGATGTTATATTATTCTAATAGTTTTATTCTTTGACTATTGCTGCTATAGAGTTTGAAATATTTCCAAGTGTGTTAACAATTACTATGGCCCTTTTTTACTTTCTTTATTTGGACTCTCTGTCAAATCTAGGCGATTTTGTAATGCTGTATCTTCTTTTTTTCATATTCTTTTTTAAGGAGTTAATGTCTCTAAACATGGTTTTTACATCAGGCTTCCTATTTACTTTAATTCAATTTCTCTTTTTGATAAAACTATTGATATTTATTTTGATTCATGAGGATTATTTAGAACTAACGTTAAAAGTTTTGTATTTTTCGGCTTTTACTGACTTATTTATCCATGTTACTTGTTTTATTCTTCAGATTTTTGTCATTCTTCCATGTATTCCATTCTCCTAAAGGCAGACATCCTGCTGTTGGATGTAAATTGAAATAAAATAAATTCTTAATTTCATTTCATAGAATTTCCGAGAAAGTACAAAAAAATATAAATCGCGATGTGAAAAAGAACAAAATAGTAAATGGCAACAAATCAAGATCATGAGGAAAACGCATGAGACCCACTTGGATGACAAGAGATCCGTCATCAAAAATCTACAAGATGTCATTGAAGAACAAGAAACCAGGATCTATGAACTTGAAGGTGAAGTGAAAGGTACATATTAGTTGATTTAGATTTGTACAGGTCTCCATCCAATTAAAGACTCCTTCTGGGACTGAACTTTCTGTGGTCTTTAGCAGCTTTGCTCTCTTATTAAAGATAAAAGTGTGCTACATACATTTAATTAGAAAAAGACCTATATTATATCACCTGAGAGTTCATCAAATTTGCTATATGTCCTATTTTGCAAATTTTCGTATTCCATCATCTTTGATCATTAGTAAAATTCTTATTGAAGAATTAAAATATTAGCAAAACTAATAAACTGATATATATAAATCAAGGTAGCCGTTAACACTGTTAAATCATATATAAATCATCAAAGAAAGGTAAATACAGTGTTTGATTAAAGGACTTAATAAATACATCGTGTAGCATAGCTCTCAACGAATGTAGTCCTGTAAATAAATGAATAAAGAAATTGTGTAATAAAATGCCTCTGGCGGGACTCGAACCTGCGACCTCTCGCTGTCAAGACGCTGTCTCTTATACAACCAAAGACTGAGAAAGTTTCAATGATCATTCAACAATTGACTGATGACCTGGACAAGCAACACACAGAGAATGCCAAGCTAAGAGGCCAAGTTCTTTCCTTAGAAAATGATGTTTCAAATCTACAGAAAGATTTTGAGGAAGAACGGCAGGAATTAGAAGATGAAATAATGTCAGCAAGGAAAGAAGTGAATGGAACAAAAAATGAAAATATTTCAAATGGACATCGTGAGGTATCATTGGAAGTTTGTAGAATGTGTAAAGCTCTGTCCAAACTACAAACTTTTATTTGACAAAAACATGCAACATGCCTAAGTATGGTCACAATGACATCACATCATGACCATATATATAGGCACATCATGACTATATATGGGCATAAAACAGTTTTTTGTCAAAGAAAATTTAATGCTCTGGACAGAGCTTTAAATATCTTGGGAATCCTATTCAAGATTTTTTTTTTAAAGAAATAGTTTTCACCAATAATAGAATCAATTGGAGAGGGTACTATTTAATTGTTTTTCTTTTGAAATTAATCTTCAGATTGTTCGTGGGGTAACAGACAGTGAGAAGGAAGTCCAGAAGCTAAAGTTGGTAAACATAAACCTTAAGAAAGAACTTGAAAGCGCCAGGCAGGACAGAGAAGAAGTTCACAAACTGACAGTGGCAAATGCTCAGTTACAGCAAGACCTTACCAATGCCCACAAAGAGAACAAACATGTGCAGAGTCTGAAAAGTTCCATAAAAAAATTGGAAGAACAACTGTCTGGGTCACATAAAGAGCTTAATGAGGCTAAAAAAGAATCTGGAGAGATTAAGAAACTCACCGAGAACAATGCTCAACTGGAATTGGCACTCAGTACTGCTCGGAAAGATAGCAAACACGCTCAGAAGTTACAGAATTCTGTGACAAAGCTGGAAGAACAGCTGTTGAATATTCAAAGAGAAAAGGCGGAGAGTATAGAAAAGATTCATGTTCTGAAGCAGCAGTGTGCTGATAAAGTCGATGCTGACAAATTCAAGGTAAAGTATTATAATTTATTCTGTCACTTAAATATTTCTACAGCATGGTATAATTTTGTAGTTAATGTAATACCAATTATGTTTCTTAGACTTGTTATTTGTATGTGCATAACAATTATGTGTGATGTGAGATTTTTTGTTTGTTTGAAGAATCTAATTGTATTCAACTGTAATGTTAGTGGTGAAAACCGAAAAACCCTCACAAATATATAATTGCTAATTTAAAATGATCTAATCAGGTATGACTTCCAAATTATAAAACACAGATTGAAATGATACCGCTTTTACTGACTTGCTGTTTTAAAACAAAAATTCTTCAGTTGTCTGCCATATGGTGTTCCAATTTTTAACTGAAATCTAATAATAAAAATATACAAAGTAAGCAGTAATAAATGGTATTATTTAAGTATATAAACTCAATGTTGAGTAGATATGTTACTGGAGTAACAGATATGTTACCGGAGTTGACAGATTAAGTGGTGATGATTTTACTGTTGAAAGCTCGAGTAATCCACGTAAAGCAGATGTTTGCTGTATTGGATTCTGGGAGCTAACTATAACATCCATATGGTGTATGTTGACACTGCAATAATCAATTAAATATAACAAATGTGGCAAAGACAAGCCAAACCAGTCACTCAATCGCAAATCATGTTTCAGAGATAATGGCCAAAACATGCTTGAATGTCAAAAATGTTGAAATCTATTTTATTGCACTAAACCAACCTTTATATATCTATACATCATTCTATGCTCTTATTTTCCCCATTTTCAATGTTAAAACAACAATTTTTAACTGGTGATGGTCTCTGCCTTAAAAATGCCTGAAATCATAAACTTTGAACCTGATTTCTCAAATATTGTTCTTTAAACAGCTTTATGTTATGCTTTTAACTTTATAAGGAAACTTCGGATTTAAATGATTCTTTTACCATTTTATAGCTCTCATTTTATTGTAGTAATAATTAAAAATCACTTTTTGCGACCAGTGACTGGTTTCGCTTGTCTTTGCCACAAATACTGTACTAGCATGTGGATCAATTCCTAATAGAATACTAATTATTTTCATAATGAGTATTATTAGTCAGCATTAATAAAACATAACCTTCTATAAATATTACAAAGTTAAGATTTAATTATATTAATTGGAGTATTATAATTTACTATTGCATGGCTAAGAATAAATGCTTAGGGAGCATAGGATTTTGCACATTTCTCATTGTTTTTACAGCAGTACAAAACATCGTAAGGGGAAGGGGTCAACAGTGTTTGTACTCTTTTATGCAAATGAAAAATTAATGTTCTCAAAAATAAATCATTTTATGTACTCTGTTGGCAGAGGAATATGTCATAGAAAAGAGATTATTAGTATTTTTACTATTATTATTATTATTTTTATTATTATTATTATTATTATTATTATTATTATTATAGTTACAAAATGTATAGGGAGGATGAGATGGACACAGATTGAACAATATTTATTATTGTTCAATTTATTATTATTATTATTATTATTATTATTATTATTATTATTATTATTATTATTATAACTAAAAATTCTTTATTTCTGTTTTTGAGTTGAAAAATAATGTTTAGGAATAGGGGACAAGCATGAGAGAATGTTTGTTTACATACTAAATGATAAATATCATTAGAGGGGGTATGCACATTGACAATAGTTTAGTCCCCATGCTGTCTGCTTATTATTTATGCCTAATTAGCATAGGTAATTACTTTTCTTCATACTCGTTCTGGATCAGTGCACAGCACTAAGCGTGCGATGTCCGTTACCAGCCCTTACAAGATGACTAAACTGAGCAGTATTCTATTGATCAACAACTGCTGTCGTCTGCTCTGACCTGTGATAGTCTGCAAAATGGGATGATGGGATTGTTTTGATAGGATTTTATCCTTACTACATTAGACTATGTTATGGCTAGCATTTCATTATGGCTGTTGAATTAGCAAGTATAATTTTAGGATTGTTATAATAAATAATTGGATGCAATTATTGTGTGCACGACAAGCAAGAAGAGATGTCGTTTGTAAGGTTTACGGAATATTGCAATGGACTATATTGATGTAAGTGAGTCATTGATGGTAATATGCACTTGAGTATGTATGCCACTGTTATTGTTGTACAGTATCACTATATCTTAAATTTGTAACATAGCAACCCAAGTCACCTGCATAGTTAGCAGCCTCAGCTGGTATATACAATGTGCTTATAATACTCTTTAGTTTGGAACTAATTACTTTAGGTTTATCCCCCAATAAACCACTTGTGAAATCTATGTGATGAACCAGAGCGAGTCTATTTAAAATAAAGAGGGATCTGTTTCATAAATTGATTAGGAAAATGAATAGTATTGACCTTCAAATAGAATTTATTCATTTAAATTCATTTTTATATCATGAAAGCTTTTTCAAGCCAGCAACAAATCCACATTATGGGGGATACGCCCTCGTCGCTGACCAGGGATCTATTAAACTGTAACCCTTTCCAGCACCAGTTAGGCCTCGGCCATCCCAGGACTCAGACGCTTCCCTATTTAATATATAATTTAGCAAATTTTTTAAAGATATGTACATATTTTATTTCTTCTATTATTCACCTTACCTCAGGATTTGCTCTTCATGTCCATGTTTTTTTTAATGTACATTGAATGTACCTAATGATGAATTAAATTTTATTTATTTATTTATTTCAAAAAATGATATAAAGAAGCACAATTGAGTACAATAATAATTATTATGATTATTGTAACAGTATTATATCATTATGAATCATTATCATTATGACGGTAGTCATAATCCCAACTTAAATCAAACTCATTTTCATTCCTGCATTTATATAGTAATATTATTATTTAGATATGTTTACTTCTAACACCGTTTTATTAGACAACAATAATGAGTGTTACAACAAAAACTTCATAAAAACAGGGAGGCTTTATCAATGATATGTTCCAGGACCATGCTGGTCTCTCTCGTCCTTTATAGATGGCGCCTTTTCGTTTAGCCTTACAACAGTAACTTTCTTTTAAATGTATTCTAACGTTTATTCAATTTTTTCACTGCCAGGTACTAGAAACCGAGAATGCAAGGTTGCGTGATCGCATCTTAAAATTAGAAACGCACGAGGCACACTTAAAAGAAGCAACGGTAGAAATTAACACACTCCAGGGCCAGCTGCAAGCAGTGCATGATGAATTGGAACACTTGAAAGAAAACCCAGAAGTACGTTTCCATCAAATATTATTTCATATTTAATTACATTGCTTTTATATGCAATTATTGATTTGATACATATGTTTAGACATGAGGGTTACTAGTGATTTAATTACTTCCTTTGTTTGGATGCATCAATTGATATCATTCTTATGCAACAAATATCATATATTTTAACCTATCATTTTAAAAATAGAGAGATTTAAAAATAGTTCCACACTAAAAAACATAATTTGTAGATCCAGGCCTATTTTTCTAACTCAAAAGCAAAGCTAAGAGCGGTCAAGACAATAGACCTTTTCAGAGTGGCATTCAAACTTAACTGACCAACCAATCAGAACAGGGCAAAGAATATGCGGGTGGTCTACAAACATGCGCATGGTGTACAACACGCGCATGTTTTGCGTATTTTTTTAGACTGTCGTTTTGTGGGATCTTACCAACAATACCCCCAAGGAGTGGGGCTTAGTGGAAGGTCCATAGTGCTTGGGTATTCCTACAGGTTCTAGTTACAAGATACAATAATCTTTTTTTATTGTTACCTTGTAAAATTGGAACAAAGTTTATAAAATCTGAAGAAGTAAAACAAATGTGTGGTCGACTGATTACACAAGATAGCATACAAGTTCATTGTTTCAACTGCTATAACTACATCTCTTCTTCCTTCATTTCCCCGTAACTATTTTATATTTAGTTAATGATACCATTTTTCATTCATAATGTTGTTTATTATATTGATGTATAAAGGTTGTTACCAAGACTGTTACTGTGGAATCGGAAGTCGCTAAGAAGCAGCTAAGTGCGTCCCAAGCTCAGGTAATCAAGCTGAAGAGCCAGTTAAAACAGTTGAAGAACCTGTATGCCGACACTGAGAGCCAGCTTAAACAGACCAGGCAAGAAAGCCTACTCCTTGAACAGAAGGTATCAATAACATTTTTAATATTAATAATAATAATTATAAAAATTTTATGTATTACATATTGCACTCTACCTCTTTGCACTTTACACAAAATTATAGAACAAAATACCTCAAATCAAATTTTACAGTAATTAATATATTGATATATTGTGGTGACAAACTGTACTAGGTCTCAAAGGGACATTCCAACTCTGCGATATTGTATTTTATTGTACAGTACTGTATGTATAATAATGGAATTTGGTGAGGATTTTTATAGTAATAACGATAAGGATAATGATAGGCTAAGGATGATGAGGATGATGGTGATTATTGTGGTGAGTTGGACAGGCGATTAGGATGGTGATAGTAATAATGATGATGATGATGATGATTACTGGAGATAATAATGAAGGAAAAGGATGGTTATGGTGACAATGATGAAATGATGATTGATGATGACAGAGATGTTATGGTGAGGATTATTATAATTATGGTGATCATGACTGCAATCTTCATTTTCAGATTGCATCTCAAGCTCAGGAGATGGTTCAAATAAAGCGACAAACTGAAGAACAAGTTGAGGAACTCCTACTCAGTAAAGAGGAAGCAATTGCAGAAAACGAAGCAGAGTCTGAGGAAAAAGTTCGCATGATGCAAGACCGATTTGACAGCATGCACAGAAAATTCCAAGAGATCCGACCAGGGCTGCTGGATCTTGCGAAAGAGTACAAGCAGTTGAGGCAACTTTGTAGCAAGTTCCCAACAATGCTTGCCAACGCGATCCAGAAGACCAAACAGGAGATCGGACAAGCCATTGCAGGAATTGATGACAACAACAAAGAACTTGTACGCAAATACAAAAAGGAGATGACTTTGAGAAAGAAGTACCATAACGAACTTGTGGATCTGAAAGGGAACATCAGAGTGTTCTGTCGCGTACGCCCTATTATTAAGGAAGATGGCAGCGGAGCAAATGCACGAAATGTGGTTTCCTACGATAGAGATGATGATGGTCTAATCTTTGTGACAAATAAAACTCGGCAGTCTTCTTATGAGGTGGACAAAGTCTTTGAAGCTACTTCCACACAGGAGGAGGTTAGTATTAAGCTGTTGTTTGGCCATATATAGTCATGATGTGCCTATATATGGTCATGATATGAGATCCTCATGACCATATTTAGTCATTTTACATGTTTTTGTCAAATAAAATTTTATTGTGTGGGCAGGGCTTAAGCTTTAATTGGGATTTTGTTGATTGGTTTAATTTGACTAATACTGATAGTTTGAGTCTGTGGTGGGGGAAGCAGTAGGCTTATGACTTAAGTTATTTTTTGGTTTAGTTATTATTCAGTTTCTTTAAAAACACAATTATAATAGCAGCACAACAACGTCAACAGTAAAAATATATTGAGCAATTGTATTGAGTTCTTACAGCAATGTTAATATCAACAATATTAATAATAACAATAGAGTACTAATAGTATGAGGTAATAAATAATCACATTGAGTATTGTTTAGGAATTAAGTGAAAGAGTTTCTCTAGACATTAATTATTCTCCCTTCTGTTGATTGTCTTAGTAATAATGAAAACATGAACTTTACCCAACTGACATTGTGACATTAAAATACTTAATGAATATTCATTACCTTTGTGTCAGATGTTGCGATTCAGTTTAAAGCGCATCTCATTCGATGACATCAGTATTATAATCTTTATTTTCAATTTTTAACAGTTGTTTAAAGAAGCTGAGTCTCTCATCATTAGCAGCATTGATGGTTACAATGTTTGCATCTTTGCTTACGGACAAACTGGTTCTGGAAAAACATACACCATGGAAGGTCCATTGACAGACCCTGGACTCAACCAGAGGGCGCTCCGACAGCTCTTTCTTGAAATTGAAGAAAGAGAGAAAGAGTGGGATTATACCATTTCTGTTAGTGTCATGGAAATTTACAATGAAACACTACGGTATGAATGATTAATTGATTATATTACTGATTTAAATTTTCAACTTCATACCACCAGCGAGTACAGGATGGATTTTCATGGAGTGTCAACATTTGTAATCAATTGCATGAATTAATCAAATTATTTAAAGAGACCGGTCTACACTACTCACTGCAATGTATTTCTGTCTTCTTTCATCTCGGAATTCAATAAATGTATACTTGAGTCCATCAATTTGTCTTCTCTGCATGGGCCTGCATATCTATATGACTTATTTACATATTCCACTTTCTCAATCAATTCTTAAAGATGCACTGTCCAATCATGGCCTAAATAAAACAGAAATTTAAATCTATATTTGAATTGCTTTTTGTACTGTACTTTTTTTTATATGTTTCTGGTTTGAAAGTTAATAATTTATTTGGAATTTTAAAAGAGCTAGTCAAGATTTTATTAGTAATTTTTGAGGTATTTTCTGATACTTTTCTCAGACTTTCTGACATGTTTCTTTTTCCTCACTCATTTTTTTCTTGTTCTATTGCTGTAAAGCTGTATTGTCTGTAAAAATCAGTGCAAATACTTTTTGTTTTCAATCTTGTTTTTTATTCAAATTATTTTCATCAGGGACCTTTTAAGTAGTGATCCAGCTCAAAAGTTAGACATTAAGATGAGTCCAGAGGGCGGTCTCTATGTACCAGGGCTAACAATGACTGAAGTAAAATGTGTGGAAGATGTTAACGATGTTTTTAAGAATGGCAAGAAAAACCGTGCAACGGCCTGCACGGATATGAACGAACACAGCTCTCGGTCCCATGCTTTGCTGTGTGTGTCTATATTGGGGAAAAACAAGACAACTGGAGTAAGAAGTAATGGTAGGTAACAGATGCAGGCCTAATCTATATTATTGGTGTAGGTTTATTATTACAAGGTTATGTATCTTAGTAATATTTATCATTCCTCTGATTAACTTAAACATACATATCAGAAATTAAACTGATTTAAAAAAAAAAACTCACAATGCCATCAGATTTCCTGAACAAACAAGCCTAGCAAACCAAGATTATTACCAGAAAAGGAGAAACAAAATTAAGAAAAGAAAGAAATAGTACATTACTTAAGGATATTGTTGATTGTGCTAAATTTTGGTTTGTTATGCTGTTTTTTGTTGTTAGATGCTATCACCTTTTTTTTTTGCAACTGATCCCCATTTACAGTATATTGGTAGAGTTGATGATGGAACAAAAACAAATTAAAATAAGCATGCAACAACTGTGCACAAAGACGAACATAAAAGTATGTTCACTATTTACAGTACCTGTAATGTAATTAATGCTAAAAGATGAGATTGCCCACATAGAATAAGTATTTATCTTGAATTCTTACAGGCAAGTTAAACTTAGTAGATTTAGCTGGTTCAGAACGTGTTGATAAATCTGGCTCAGGGAACGATACAACACGTTTAAAAGAGGCTCAGAACATCAACAAAAGTCTCTCATCACTGGGCGATGTCATTCACGCTCTGAGAAACAAACAGAACCATATTCCATATCGTAACTCAAAGCTCACCTATCTACTACAAGATTCACTAGGTAAGTAAAGCATTAATGTATGACATGTAAATGTAGTGGTATCAGTTGTTACAATATGTGTACAATATGATGGTATGTAGGCCTATGTATGTAGTGGGATTTATATAGGACCTTTTATATAGTGCATAATGCAGAAGTCTCTATGCGCTGGGAGAAACCAAAGAAAAAGAAGTAAAAAACTAAACCAGGATTATTCTAAACTAACTTTGGAACAAAAAACACAAGCAGATGAACCAGGATCACAGCACCATTCTCCTGCAGTTTCTGGCAATGATGTTTTTGATCTAAAGGTTTTGAAAAATGTGAAAAAAAAAAAATATCATAATATATTTAATCGTTTATCAAAAAAGTCTTTTAAAGTCAGAGGTAGTTTTTAGAAACCAGGCTAAAGTATACAGAAGTAAGCACTTAAAATATTTTTCAGGTAATAGCTCAACAAAGACGATATATCTATTGACTTTTGCCTGATTGAATTACTGATAATTATAGTTTATTTTTGTTATTTGCCAGAAAGGAAAGCAGAACATGGACTTAATTGTTGATGTTTATTTGACTTTCATCTTAATTCTTATCTATTTGCAAGGAAAGCAGAATGTGGACTTAATTGTTGATGTTTATTTGACTTTCATCTTAAGTCTTATCTATTTGCACTACTGCAATTGTTTATCATTGGACAATAGTTATCCCTTTAAGTATATATCTGAAACCCTGGGTAAAATATTCATGAAATGAATTTTAAAAATGCTATATGTATTAAATAATGATAAACAGGAAAAAAATGATAATGAATTGTTATTATTTTATTCATTTATTTTATCAATATAAATATGTGTTTGCAGGTGGTGATAGTAAGACGTTGATGGTTGTACAGGTGTCTCCGGTCTTCAAAAATGCGAGTGAGACTCAGTGTAGTCTGAACTTTGCTCAGCGTGTGCGTTCGGTCGAACTTGGGGCTGCTACCAAAAAAACAGACAGTGCAGAAGTTGCAGTGCTTCGGGAGAAGCTCGCACAATATGAGGTAGATATGTTATCAATATACATGTAAATAATATATTAATATATTTTTAATAAACATGAACTGACATGCAAATAATTATTATGCACATATTTATAATAAAGTATATACATAAATTGATATTCAAATTATTACTATGTAATTATTTGAAATTTGTTTCTATATTCATTCAAATTAATGAATATGTTAGACATTTGTTATTGCAGTACGGTTAATGAATTTAAATTAAATTTATTGCACCTTACATAATAATTCTTAATATATTTTTGTACTTTTTCGACTTTTAACAACAATTTGGGTTTCTTTCTTTCTTTAAAGGATGTTCCAACCTATTCTTCACCATCACGCTTGAGGACACCTACCAAAAGTCGTGCAACACCAAAGAAATAAAAAAACAGTATTATTAAATGTGTCTCTGTTTTCCATTGTCCAACGGCAGGTTACAGATCACTGCACAACTCAGCGAAGAATGTCAAATAAAAAATGTGTGTACTCAATATAATATATCATTCATAATCATTAATAATTATAAAAATGTCTTTTCCATAAAAAATACTATACAATTATGATATTCACAATAGTTTTCTCAGTATTATATCACGACTGGTTTTTCAGAGGGACCTCACTCAAAAATGGCGTTCGGTCGAAACACACACACCATTAGGCAAATTTAAGGGGGCCCAGCTGGCCCAGGTACCCTGCCCCTAATGTTTTGAAAATTATAAAAATAAGAAAATTATATTCAAATTCAAGTCTGAGAGTGCCATCTCAGGCCATCTAGAGGTGCCATAAACATAAATTCCCTTTCCTCAACCCCAGCCATGGTGGGGCAGAGATCGTAGCCTGTATCTGTCGAAGTCCCTTCCTGGGCCCCACTATTTTGAATTCCTGGATCCGCCACTGGAAACCTTTGTGATCTGACTCTTGGTTCTTTATAATATTAGTGTTCCTTGTAAGGCCATGCATGGTGATCTATAGAGCACCATGCATGGCCCTTTGTAGTGTGCTGTGCATGTGGTCCTAGAATGTACCATAAAGGCCATAGCAACCTTATCTACAACACATAAACTGACATTGTCATTAATATAATCTGTTGGGAAAAAATATAAAATGCACAATTTAAGGTTTAAATATGGTGCAATAAATGTATATATAATGCTGATCGACGGTTCCTGATGAAACATTTCTGGATGAAGAAACAAATGTAAATATCAACATGTGTATAGAGATAGATATTTAAAATTTTATTCAACCACCAGAAATAATATTGTTGTCAAAAGATATATCTATGATTGTAGATGTAGATTGCTTACTAATTGAGTTTTATGAGTATGAATATTAAAGTACTGTATATACTCGCGTATAAGGCGATTTGCTTATGTGACGATCCCCAAGTTCAAGAACATTTTTAGACGATTTTTGTATGTCAGGCGTATAAAAACAACCTTCTCATTTCATCGTCAGAATTCCTAATTTTTGCTGCATTTTATGGTCTTCATACCCGCATTCAGCTGTTTGAAAATGTAGGGCCAATCTTCCAAATACCATTTGACAGGGCTTTTAAATGTTCATCAAAATCTCATTTCCTCGCATTTATTGCGTTCATTTATACTAAAAGTTAGTAGCTCCATTTAAGTAGAAAATATGCGTATTACAGACACACAAGACGAACCTGATTTGAAAATTAAAAAAATATTTGTATGTGTTGCGCGTATGAGACCCCTGTTCTTTTGAAAAGTAATTGTATTTTAAGCTTTGTCTTATATGTGGGAATATATAGTAACAGGGGTCCAAAGTGGCGTATCAAGTCTTGAAATGGAGGTGCTGATGGGGCGCGAAGGTGAAGTGGGGGTTCGATGACCCCAACCCAGATATGCCTCTGCATCTGGGAGATCAGGTTATAAATAAGCTTTCTTTAACAGATTTCACTTCATTTTGCTGTGCATTGTGATACAAATCACTAGCAGACTTCCAGGAGACAGTTCATAATACAGTAGTAAAACATGTGAATACATACTGTAATTCATTTCTGGGAGATGGGTTAGTTTCCGAGAGATTTTGGATTTCTTTGCAGAGGACCGGCTCAATTTCCGGGAGATTGCCGCAACTCACAAAAGACTTGCGACCCGTGAAGTAGAAATATGCAATTTTACTGATAAATGGGGAAAATCATGTTTTAGGAAATTGAAAAATAGTTGGGTTGTTTTAATATACTATGCTAACTCTGCTATGTATTTCAACAAATATGATTTTCTTTTTTTTGGAACCTTGTAAAAATGGTTTACAGTATCTTTCTCAAACATTATTTTAACCTTGATGTATTTTTAAGTTATGACCTATACATATTTTATAAGGTGTTACATCATTCCAAATTAATTTAAAATTTGTATTCCAATATAATTATGTGTGGAAAGTTTGTAAAATAAACAGGGATAATATTATGTTGATATTAATTGTTATGTAAACTTTTCCTATAGTTCTACTAGTACCAAGCCAGATCTCTCTTGTTAAAAGTAATTTCAACCTCGTATCTTTACAGGCTGGATTTACTTTGCTGGACACTCTTTGCCTAACCTTCAGTGAAACAATTCTGTGTACATAGCTGCTATTCATCTAGCTGCTATGTTGATTATTAATATAAATAACTCGGACATGTAAAATTTTATAATAATCAGTAATTACTCAGTCTAATGTTTGTAATTGTATCGAATTTGTTATTTTCTTTTAACATAAAGAACAAATAAAGTGTTGTTCATTTTGTCATTATTTTAAAAGACGTATTTGTATCATTTACAATATTCATATATTTGTGTTGTTCTTGAGAAACCCAAACTATTTTTATGCTTTCTATTTTGTAGAAATTTTACAAAGTTGTATAATTTTCCAGCACTTCATTTATTTGTGTTCTGATTATGAAACCCCTCCTATTTTTTATGCTTTCAGTTGTTCAGAGGGAAAGGGGTGGGGTGTTGGTATAGCAATGACAAAGTATTGCATTAAAGAACCAATTAAATAAAAAAAAATGAGGCAGGTCAAAGGTCTATTAACAATTATGTTTAAGGGAATGATACATACAGGAAATAACATAGACTGGTGACATTAGTACAATTAATACATGAAACAGTGAGAAGGGCAGTTTGGGAAATAATAGGGAACTAATGAGTGTACTGTAACGACTAACAATACAAGTATGGAAGAGGCTTTTCTTATCACATTTTCTGCCAATGACAGTAAAGACATTTAATAATATATCACAGTTGGTATATTTTAAGTTGCTGGGGACTATGATATTTTTCATTATTTCTTTTATTAATATTAATATTTTATCATGGATTGGGGAATATTATAATAGTAATGGTGGATAACAGTACGTAATTTAACTAATTTTTTGCTATTCCTCAATAACTCTACAAGTGACACAAAATTTTAAATCAATAAAATACATTTATAATGAAAATGTTTTGAGTTTTTATTTTTTTAGATTATTATAATTCTCACATGAATATATAGAAACGATAATTACATATTATTACAATTCAGACAGATTGGATAAAATGTTTATTTATATTGATAAAAAATAAATAAATGATTTTGACATAGCAATAATACTGTATAATTTAAGTGCATCTAATTTTGCACTGTAAATAACCCAATAAATCTACCGAGATGAGTAGGGGGTTACACCAGTGGACTGCCCCATACAGCCCCTGTTGTGGACAGACGAGAGTGGCACCGGTTTACTGGGTAGCTCAAACACAAGGTGACCCTTAGTGGGAAGAAAGTGATTGTACACGGTAGTCCACACTTCAGTATAAAAAGCACTATAAAAATGCCAGGTAGTTCAAACATGAGGTGACATTTAGTGGAGAAGGAAGTTGCTGTAGGAGCTAGTCCACTCCTCAAGCACTTTAAAACTCTAGTATAAAAAGTGCTATAAAAATCTATATACTACTTTTAGTTGCAGCATGCCATAAGTTTGCAGGCTTTTTCATGACAAAGTTCAAGTTCGAAAGTCACCTGATGAATCTAGGTTTAATATTCTTAAAGATCCTGAACCTCTGTCCAATCTATCAAAATTTATTTGACAAAAACATCACGTCATGTCCATATATAGGCGCATCATGACTATATATGGGCATACAACAGTTTTTTGTCAATGAAAATTTGATGATCTGGATGGAGCTTGAGAGTCATTGCAATCTAAACTTCAAACAAGTCTGAACGCAAACCAGCTGAGGCAAGGATATCTGTTCCAGTACTGTATACAAACATGCTAAAGCGATGATAACACGCTCTCAAAAACTGTACGCAAACCATCTTTTTGATATTTTAAAGGCGGTGAAATCGATCGCCTTAATTCCCTGCTCTGTATATCGAGTTCAAAGATTACCAGATAAACACAAGTTGGTCGAAATAGCACACCAAACATCATTGTTTGATATGGTCTCCATGACAACAGCATGTGCTCCATAAGTTGAATCTTCCGAGTCTCCAGGCTCTCACCGCCATTCGAAACAATTCCTAATAACAACACTTTCCCCCTTTTTGTGTCAAACACATATAGATCAGACATTTTCCCGTCGTGTAATGATGTTTCCATGGTAATAGGAAGATGGTTCCTAATCCTATGAGTGTGTGTCATGGTGCCAGCTCCATTTAATTGGTTGGCCGCTGGCAGTGGCGCGACAATTCCGCGGATAGCCAACATTTGGTCAGCCCCTTGGGTAGACATTTTAATATCAGCATCTTTGTGCCAAGAAAAGAGAACCTCAAGTACCTTCTTAGCAAAATTTTTTCCTCTTCTGTCATGAAAAGAATCATCACTTGCCACCCAGAAAAGAAGTTGAAAATCAACAAATTCTCTGCTCTCTTGTTCCTAAAGGTCAAAAAAATAAACAGAAATAAATATGTTATGTTCATAAAGGCAACAAAAAGAGCGAGTATTGAGCGAGAAAAAATTGTTGTTAGGCTTTCCCATACATTAAACCAAAATTATCTTATTACCCTTTTATAAGATTCCTAAATTTTAACATTGTATAAATTATACTTCAGATACTTGGTACTTGGTATTTATATAGCGCCTTTCCTTTAGGTTACTAAGCACTATGATTTCCTTGGTGATTGCGTCCACATGTTTATGCAGTCTCTCACTAAGTGACTCCTAAGTCTCTCACAACTCTTGCATTCAAGCAGGAATCTTCCAAAAAATAAATTAACCCATCTCCCTACATTTTTCAAAATTATTTTTAAGAATGAAGGAAAAAAGAAAATTATATCATGGAGGTATTATTGAGAAGGAGATCACTCGGCAAAGCTACGCGCACGGAGCGCTATGCAAATGAACCAAGATCAAAGTTGCCGCAGCGCGTAAAGAACGTTTGCGCGATGCCTTTGAAGTCCCA